AAAATGGGTCTTAAAATAGTACAATTGAAATTAAATCAAACTAGATAAATAAAATTTATTGTTAATAAGATCTTCTCGGACTATCAGCCATGTCTGATGATTAAAACTTTCCGACTTTTCGAGGACCATCTCTCTCTTCATCCTCAGGGCTGCAAGTTTTAATCATCTGACACTGCTGATGGCCCGAGAAGATTTTACTAATAACAGCCACCATAAAGTCTTCATATTATGCAACATTTAGTGTTGCCTACAACAAGAGTTTGATCGAAATCTATAAAGTTTGGATCGTATTATAAGTGTGAAGATGATGAAAGAGTAGTGTTTTTTTTGAGTTCTTTCAAACGCACTTAAGAACGGATGAAAAACTTTACTGGACATAATTCGCGACATGTTCAAAGGAACTGGAGCCAAAGCAGCAGTAATGAGGCTTAAGCGGGTAATGAAGTCCTCTGCGAAATGAGTGCGTTCTTGTAGCCGTAAAGAAACAGGTGATGACGACTGAGTGTGTATTCCAGTTTATTTTGGCTGATCTGATTCATCTCCCTCGATGCTTTGAACACTTTGCCTTTCCAAACACACAAACGGAACGTGATGCTCGCCAACGTGTTATTAACTCAGACATCATCTTCTTCATAACCGAAATAAAACCCTCCATTTCACTTAATCATATACGACGTGTGTTTCCAACGAACGGTCTTACAAGAATTACTATCATATTCATTTTTGCATTATTTAACAACGTTTTTTCAGAATCTCAGACTGTAATAACGTCGAAAGGAGGAATTGTTAATTAATTTAAAAGGGTATGGAAGATAGTTGTGTTCTAATTTAACGTACTATCGTAGTATTTGTTTTGAGTAGCTGAGGACATCCGGTCCCTGGACCTAGATTTAAACACGCGGAATCCCAATTACGAAGCTGACTGTAACGTTCAGTTTCGTTCCAATGTTATTGAATGAAAGTAAGACATTTTGTAAATACTTACTATTCATTTCAAAATCTTTGACCACTCTGTTTGCTTTCCAAAAGCGCATAAGATAAATATTATACCCATAAATTTTTCTCATCTTTTGTATGACTGTGAAGCATTGTCCTTTCGTTAAAGAAAATTAATTACAAATATTTTGCTAAAGTAAATTATGAACAGAAATAGGCAATTTAGGTATAGGGTTGTAATTATTAATTTATAACAAGATTGTAATAATGCACTCTTTTCGGAGTACACTGAAATTTCATAGTAGGGTAACCAAGGGATAACAAGAGCAACAATGGTATCCAAGGTCACTCGCAATAATGCGGTACAAGGTCATTGTTGTAACAACGTGATCTAAGGTAATTTTTTGCAATAATATGCAAAAGACACCTAATAATGCTAACTATATGGAAAAAATATTTTTTTGGTTACTGTTTATGGTCTACGAATTGTATTATTCCACCAGATTCAAAGAACTTTAATTAAATTTCAGAACTGTTTTGTTGCACCCGACAGTGGACCTCCTTGAGGTATACCCAGGCCTACATGAACAAAAAGCAAATTAACCAGAACGAATTTCAATTTATTTCTTGTAAGTGTAAAATTATTAGGGTTGTCAACAAGTTCATTCGAACAGTGGACTACTTCCAAAATCAGTTGGACTGGGCCCAATAGAGAACCAAAATAATTAAATGAAACTAGATTAATAAGTTCTCAAACACATTATTTTTAAAATATAACATCATGAATCCAAGGACGAATTTAACTTCATGGTACAGTGTCGTTCTTCAAAATTTAGTAGTTACTTGTTTGGTCAAAGAAATCCTATGTTTTATGGTAACCGTAGATTCATTGTCGCGTTAACCTAACCTCGGTACTGTACTTTATTCTAATCCAGTTCCATCCTGCCCATATTCTCCCACCTTATTTCTTCAAGTACAGTCTTTATAATTTTGTCCCATTTAGAAGCACGTCTCAGTCTTGGCCCCTTTCAGTAACACTTTCGACTGATTTGTCTGTAGGGCCGACATGCGCTTCTCACAACCCTTGTCTTGTCATCTTCTTTGTTGGACCATCGACGGACATGCGGGCCACCCTATGCCCAAAGTTGTATAATGCACTTTTCTTTTTTCGGCGCTATTTCAATATTAATGATGGCTGTGAGGGCCGGCAGCTGCAAGCATATGGAGCCCCCTTCACATGACCACTACTGTGTTCATTGTTATAGTTTCGCGGCCGTAATCATCAGAGCAACAGTGGTTCAAGTGACGTTAAAGGTTAAACGGAGGAAAGAGAACGGAAAATAGGAAGTAGACAAACTAAAGAAGGAATAAATATAAAAATAAAGAACAATAACAAGAAATAGGTAGCTGAAATGGGAATGAAAAGTAAAAAGAAATACAAAATGAAGGAACAAAAAGGGAAAGCGAAAGAAAGTAAATAAAAGAAACAGAGCACTAAAGAAAGGATAGGCAAGTAACTAAGTAAATAAATAGAGACACAAAGCGGAACAGCCTATAGACCTACGAGTCCTCAGTTAAATAAAATCTTCACCCAGCGGATAAACGCACGTGACCCTGATAATATGATAAGGTCGATCATAATTTTTGCTTAGCCTCCAGTGAATGCCGTTATCCTACATACACCATGTCCGTTTTATCACGCGTATCACCAGGTTCATAATCCATGCACCGACTGGACTCAGCACAACTTCAGCTACTACAGTGTCATAAAAGGGGCTGAATTTTATCAAACTTCATCCATCCTGTTGAAGGGTGAAGTATAACCCTTTCCATAATTTTATCTTTTTACTGAAACTTGGCTTCTGATCCTAAGAGAAGAGCGTTTCAGAACAGAGTAGAGGCGGGATATTTGGGTCTAAGAGAGAATATGACAAGAAATGAAGAAACTAAACAACGAGGAGTTTAATATATTTTACTCTTCCGAAATATTATTTGGATGATCAAGTAATGAATAAATAAATAGTTCGGTCGTATAGTACGAATCGGAAAGACGAAAAGAAAATATACTATTTGGTAGGTATAAGAATAGAGGAAAATATGATATTAAAACGGGTGTTAAGCAAGGAGGCTCTCAGGATATGAACGGGATTCATTTGGTTCAAGTTAGAGTCCAGCAATGAATTCTTTTGAACACAACAACTAACCTTAATCAAAATGGGGGGGGGGGGGGGGGT